TGACTTTCTTGTTACACTAAAAAGCTGAAAACCAGCTGGTTGGAGTCTAGTCTGTGAAAATTGGGCCAGAGCCATGTGTGTTTGAAAGCTGAAATCCTACAGGTTTTTATCCCTCATAATGTTAAATGATGTAAATTTAATGGAATTAAGCTGGAGCAGCAAAAATTATTTTTTAAAATCCCAATCATTTGGCTCCAATGAAAACACCAAACTGATCCAAGCCTGATAGTTTGACATCTGATACTGGCTATCAAGGGTAGATCCTTTGCTCCATGTGCTAAGGAATTAAATAAAACAGAAAATTTGCTAAAATTTTGGACTACAGCTTAGAATCTTTTTCTTTTTGCTTGCAGATCTCAGGTTTTTTTTTTTTTTTTAAAGTTACTTTGTATTATTATATAATTTATCTGTTCTTTGTTACTTGCTTGTAAACTAAGCAGGGTGGGGAAGGACTTTCTCATATCTCCTCATAGTCACAGAATTTCGCATAGAGCTTTCAAAGCTCTAGGTCTATTTTTGTCAGCATGTACTGTCTTCAATAAAAGTTTTGATGCATTACTTAAATGAGAACAGAGAAACCTATGTTCTGTGTTTCTACCTTTTTTTTGGGATTCTGTGTTCTTTAGAAGAAAAATCTGTAAAGGCTTTTCCAACTCTTTCAAACCTAGAGTGAAACTCTTGAACACCATACATTTTAGGAACTGTTATTAGCAGAAACATTGTTACCTATCTATATTCGGTGCTTCATACTTTTTAGGGAGAAAATAGAATTAGCAAGTCCAGAAGCATAGGACCACAGGAAGAAGAGTGAGTTTTTAGTGGTTCAGTCTATGAATGGCAACCTTAGGAAAAGAGTCTCAATGTACCTCAATCAGTTACCAGTGGTTCTATGTAAATGACTATTTATATTTTGATATGATCATCAGTTTTATTCTATTCTGATGCCATAAAGCATTACAAACATTTAATAGAATAATAGGCCAGGAAATATAAATGAAAGTCACAAAGTATTATTTAGGTGTGAATGTTTACATATGTTTAGCATTATATGCTTTTAATATATATATTAAATGTGTGTGTGTATACACACACACACACACACACACATGCATATCTATATATGTTGCTGATGTTAGGTGCCATCGAGTCAACTCTGACTCATAGTGACTCTATGTATAGCAGAATGAAACATTGCCTGGTTGTGCGCCATTCTCACAATCATTGCTATACCTGAGCCCATCATTGAAGCCACTGTGTCAATCCATCTTGTTGAGGGCCTTCCCCTTTTCTTGCTGACCCTCCACTTTACCAAGCATAATATCCTTCTCCAGAGTATGGTCCTTTCTGACATTGTGACCAAAGTAGGTGAGATGAAGTCTGGCCATTCTCACTTCCAAGGAGCATTCTGGCTGCACTTCTTCCAGGACAGATTTGTTCATTCTTCCGGCAGTCCATGGTACTTTCGCTATTCTTTACCAACATCACAACTCAAAAGCACCATTTGGTTTTTGTTCTGGGTCTTGGATAAAAGTAAACAACACCACTAGAAAGATGTTTACTTGTATTTTATTGACTATACAAAAGCATTCAACTGTGTGGATCATAACAAATTATGGATAACATCAAGAAGAATGAGAATTCCAGAACACTTCATTGTGCTCCTGAGGAACCTGTACATAAACCAAGAGGTTGTCATTTGAACAGAGCAAGGGGCTACTGCATGGTTTAAAATAAGGAAAGGTGTGTGCATCAGGGTTGTGTCTTTCACCATACTTAATCAATCTGTATGCTGAGCAAATAATCCAAGAAGCTGTATTTTATGGAAAAGAACGTGGCAACAGGATTGGAGGAAGACTCATTATCAGCCTGCGATGTGCAGATGACACAACCTTGTTTGCTGAAAGTGAAGCTGACTTGAACCACTTACTGATGAAGATCAAAGACTACAGTCTGCAGTATGGATTACACCTCAACATAAATAAAATAAAAATCCTCACAACTGGACCAATTAGCAGAGTCATAATAAATGGAGAAAAGATTGAAGTTGCCAAAGATATATTTATTTATTTTTTGGTTTGTTTGGTCAAATGTAATACCGAAAAATTACTATCAGATTATTATTTTCTTAAGGTGTTCTACTTACTTAGATTTAGTAGTCAACTTTAGGTTTCATATTTCTTCTTGCAGTATATGTCAGCGAATGCTTCTCATGAGCTGGATTGATGTGTGCAGCTTCTGTTTTGTTCAACTGGAAGATAGCAACGGTTGTGGCTATAAACAGTCACTTCCTCATTTTTAAGTGTCTTGATTAATCAAACATTTAAACATATTGCAAGTACCAGTATAAAAGCAATATTTTTGTATAATAAAGTTTTTTTTTTAGTTTTTAAATTAAGAATATTACCATTGTGGATGTTTATTTACAAAAGTAAAGTAAAAACCTCACAGAATTTTCTAAGGATTTGCTCTCATATTCCTTTTCTCTCTCTTTGATAGCAGTTTAAACTTAATGGATAAACATCTTCTTAGAATGATAAACTTCAATTTAATATTAACATTCAAATATCCCATAAAAGGGTACCAGTTGACACTGCCTTTATATTTTTTTCACTGAGAATTTTGTGTTCATTTTTTTTTAAGTTTTCTTTAAGTCATGTTTGAAGTAAACTGTGATTGCAAATGTCATTTTTTAGGAAGTATTACCTGTGTGTAGATCTATTCAGATTTTAATGCTAACATGTTTTTCATTTCTTTAAGATTGCATGTGTGCAACCTCATATATGTTTAATCTCTGTTCCTGAGAGCTGAATCTTGAAGTGAAAGCTATTCTGACTTTTATTGTTTTGATACAGCAACAAAACTCTTAGATCAGTTTTCCAGCCACTTACTCTGTTAAGTCAATATCTCCAGTCCTGTCATGGGCCATTGAATTTGCTGTCATTTCCTGCCCTACTGGCTTCTCTTGCTGGTGGTGAGAATCGATAGGTGTTTTCCAGAAAAGAAGGAATAATGAACTTGACCTTAGCTTCTTGCTTTTTTCCCAGACTCTGTTATGGTTTCCACACCTACATCCTTTTGAGTGATCTTATTTCTTCATGTAAGCTTCCCCTGCATTATACTTCTTTTGTGACTATCACTTTTTTTTTAAAGATTGTTTATCATAATGCAGGTTCTAACTGCTTATATATGCATTATATAGTTTTAGAAAAACAAGTAAAAACAAATAAAACATTTAACAAATTAAGCAATCCTTTTAAAAGGTGGCACCTCAATAAGATGGGTTAAGAATGTCAAAAAACTATGATAAAAAATGGGTCTCATTGTGTCTTTTGTGATACACTACATCTCTTTTTCTCTCTTTAAATTATGAGTCCAACTCTAACTTAAAAGACTGTCCATTTTAGGCTGTTAAAGTTATATGAAAATGCTCTTCTTAGATGTTTACATCTTTTGGATTTTACATCATGTAACTTACATTCCCTACTTTTTCTATTTAATACTTTCCATATATTCTGTGTAGTTTTCAGATCAGAAATCTTGCATGGACCTTAGTCTCATTTTTCTTAAAGTTGTCTGTTTTCGTTGTTGCTGATCTTGTGTTAAATGCCACTTTTATGGCACTGTCTTTAGGTAAATTAACCTGGTATTTAGGAATATTTCATTTGTTCAACTAGATGCTTTCTCTTTATTGTGGCATAGATACAAGATTTCAGCTTTATGTTTTGTTTCTTTAGCCTTATTTTTTTAAAATTTTATTTTTGAAAATATACACATTAGAACATACACTAATTCAACAATTTCTGCATGTTCAATACAGTGACATTGATTACATTCTTCAAGTTGTACAACATTCCCATTCTCCTTTTCCAAATTATTCCTCCCCATTAACATAAACTCACTGACCATTTTGATTTTTAACAGTTTCTTCCTCACCTCTGTGCTAGAGGAAGGAATATCTTAGTCAAAGAAAGGGAGAGGAGAATCTGGGATAGTGATTTACACCACACACGTTTTTAATCTGGATCATCACTGAGCAAAAATGTATACTGCAGGGTACACACATGAATGATAAATTTCTTCCTCTTCAATAAAGGTTGAATTTTACTATGTTCCGATTACTCTATTAGATGATGAATTGCTAACTTATGTAATTTTATACTTATAAAATAATAGACTTGGCTTCTTGTTTAGAATATGTGTTTGACCCTTTCTCTGCCCTTTTAAGGATATCATGGTACAATGAATAAGAATAGAAACTGGAAATTAATTCCAGTTATTTGAATATGTAATCTTGCCTGATTCTAGGGTGTACAAAACTTTAGATAACTGTGGGGTTTTTTTTGTACTTATTTTTTTCTTTTGAAATCTACTTTGCAGGAAGTTCATTTATTGGCTAAGTGGCCTTATGTTTGTCTAACAAGGAAATCAGCAAAAGTGTTCCCCAAGAAGCTAGCAATGAAATTAAGAATTGTCTACTATCACCACTGGTGATAAATCAAACTGATGTTAAAAATGCAAATAGTCATTCCAGTACACTCTTCTTACTAGGATTGTTTAAGTTAATTAAGCCAACAAAGTACTTCATTATCTATTATGCTGAACACTAATGGTAGATACAAAGTTTCACACTTTTAAAAACAATTTTTCTGACAATAAATTTACATCTTTCTATCCATTGTGTTACCATATATTAATAGTAGTTAATAATATTAACTGGGAGGGTATATTTATTGTACCACAATTAAGCTTTCAGCTTTTTTTTTTTTTTTTTACAAAGTCAAGAAATTTTGGTAAATGTTTGAAATGAATATACTCAGGGCAACTTTTGCCCATCTTTTTGAGAAAGAGATTAAAACAATATATAATGCATTTTTATTAAACTGTCAAGAATTTAATTACATTTAACTTAGCATTGTAGAATTTTAAATTTACTCTATTAACTAAAATAAAAAAAAAAGCTGTTATAAATTACTGATATGATTGGTTTCTTTCATTTGCAGCATTTAAATATTAAGACACTGACAGATGATATGGTAAGGTTATCCTCAATGTTTCCTTTGGTGTGAATCTTAACTAACCATGTAATGGTTGTGGTGGGCTTCACTAACACCTTCTTTTTGATATTTCTAAAAATTGCATGTATTTGAAAAGACTTATTTCTAGTGTTAAAATAAGGGGCAGAACTAGTAAAAACAATCCGTTGTTGCTTTTAAATTGTAGAAGAGAATAGACGGTGTGTAAATTTAAAAAATTTGTTTAATTAAAAAGTATTAGTCAACTTTGAATCATTTGAATCAGCTCTCATTCTTTGGAGGTGACTTCTACATTTCAGAAAGGTGGGAAACTAGGTAAAGACACGCCAGCTGTTCAGAATGTATACTTGCTAATTAAAGTAAACCAGACTGAGCTATCATGCATGTATTTAAAAAATTTTTGCTTAAAAATATGAGAATAAGCATGTCTTATTATATGTTCTGTGTGTTCAAAATAATAGTTTTCTTATAGGTAGTTACCACTCTATAGCACCATTACTGATTCTTGATATTCAAATACATTTTTTTTCTGAGAAATGTATATTTGAACGTAACTCTTACTTAGTAAAGAATGACAACAACAACAACAACAACAACAACAACAACACATATATAAGCAATAACACATAGAAGTCAGTATAGATGAAAAAGTAGGGCACTCAATAGACGAGGTGTTTGAATTCAGCCTTACCACATGTCAAGTCCAAAGTAGAGTGCCAAGAACACGTTGTTGTTGTTGTTATGTGCTGTCGAGTCAGACCCGACTCATAGCGACCCCTCCTTGGGTTTCCAAGGTGGTATCACTATGGAAGTAGATTGCACAACCTTCCTTCTGAGGAGTGGCTGGTGGGTTTGAACCGCCAGCATTCTGTTTAGCAGTCAAGTGCCTTGGACACTAGTTCAGTACTTCTCATCTTCAAAGTATTGTTCCCTAGGCACCTGGGAAAGATGCACAGATGAGTGAGATAGATTCAGACAAGAAGGATTTAAAAAATCCACTTAGAATATTGATATGTTTTATTCCTCTGGACAATACCTGTAAAAGAATGTGGATGTAAAGTTTTCTGGATAACAAATATTCTTCATATAATTATATTTATAAAGTAGACACAATGTGGAGCCCTTGTACACATTAGGTATGTTATTTCTCACCTTGCAAGGTAGATTCTGTCTTCATTTTACAACTGAGAACATTTGACGCTCAGATGGATAAAATGAGCAACTTGCGCAAGTGTGGACAGGTGGCAGGTGGTGCAGCCATGGTTTGAATCTTGTTCCACTAGTTTCTCATGGTATACACTTTCTTTCTTTTTTTAAAATACACTTTATTGAAATATAATTTATGTACAGTGAAATACACAAAACTAAAGTGACATGAGTCAATGCATGTTTTTTTTTTTTTTTTTCAATGTTCCCTTTCCTCCCCTCCTTTTCTATCCTCCCTTTCCTTACTCTTGGTAACCAAGAAAGAAAGTTTCCTTCCATAAAGAAACCTTTCCTTGACTTTTATAATAATCAACTAACACTATATTTGGCCTTCTGTGATTGACTTATTTCACTCAGCATTATGTCCTACAAGTTCATTCACGTTATGTGATGTTTTGCAGATTCTACATTATTCTTTAGTGTTGCATAGTATTCCATTGTGTGTATGTACCATAGTTTGATTATCTATTCTTCTGTTGATGGG